CAGCCAGAAACTATTTTATTGTCTTGTACAGATGAGCTCAGTGGTGGGGGAATGAGACAAGGGCTGGTGGGTGCTGTTGTTTGTCATGGAAATTGAGTCCCTCCAGGAGCTGTCAGACCTGAACCTGGTAAACCCCACAGAGCTTCATAGTGGGTCCTGCCAGCTGGACCCACTGCGCACCTGCCTGGAACACAATGTTCTGCCTACTTCCACCCACCCAGCTGCCCCAGACCCAGGGCCAGAGACAGGGCTGCAGAGTTTGAACACTTCCTCAGCCACTTCTCAGTGAGGAGAAGGGCACCAGAGGAAACAGATACAAGCCATGGAGCGTAGCCTTGAATTACAGACACTGCTTAGTCCAAATTGCAAACATTTGTTCTTTTTTTTCCAGGTGAGTGTCAGGTTTCCATTATCCACATCTCCATTTTACATTTGCCCCAGGAGTCTTGATGCAGGTGGAGGGAGGCAGTGCCTCCTATTCAGTTCCTAAGATGAGCAGGGAGGTTGGGACGGCAGGATCCACCCCTCCTTCCACTGCCCCTTCCATTGTCCTCTCCCCACTCCCCCTATAACCCATTAGTATGGAAGCAGAAAGAATGTGTTTCCCCATTTACATGAGACCCCAAAATAATTCTGAACTATGTTCAATAGTTGCATTGTATACTGGGCATTGCCGGCTTTAGACTTAGCCTACTACCAAGTGTGATTCCAGCGGTCTTCTAGGGCCTCTCCTGGGCACCAGATCACACTCATAGTCACATCAAAGTACCACTCAGAAGGGCTTTGCCTAGTTCCTGTCCCATGACGCAGACTTGAAAATTTCAGAGGAACTTCTAGAAATAGTATTAGTGAGGGATACAAGGTCATCAAACAAAAATTAGCTGGGCTTCTATACACCAGCAATGGGAAATCTGAAAAGGAGGTTAGCATGATAATACCATTTACAATAGCATCTAAGATCATAAAATACCTATGAATAAATTGAACTATGGGTACAAAAGATTAATACAATGCAGATTCAATAAAATACTGCCGTAAGAGACTAAAGACAAAGAAATAGAATGCCCTCCTTATCAAAGTTCTAAAAGCCTTCTTTAGAAAAACAGAAAAACCAGTCCTCACCTTTAACTCACAGTTGCTGTGATGCTGAACACTGTAACACCGATATATCAAATGTGATAACAGTTACCCATGGTGGACAGTGCTTGGTGGAACTCCCTGATTAAAACAAGCTTGGAAGCAGGAGTGGCAGCTACTTCTGAAACAGCTTGCCTCCGCAAACTTGGAGAAACAATGAATGTTATACAGGTATTCAGGTCTTCATAGGTTCACTATGAGTCGTCTATAACTTGACGGCACTTACCAACAACAACACCTTTATTTGGAAACGCAAAAAGCCCGGAAGAGCTAAGAGAACATTGAAAGATAAGAGGACTTACACTTTTTAATTTTAAACATACTATACAGCTCCAATACAAGGGATATTCAGTACTCTTCCCCAACATTACAGTTCGAAAAAAAGAACTTGGAGAAGGTGCAGCCAGAGTGCCCCTTGGAGGCAAAAATAATAAAGCTTCGACTCACATACATTGGACACGGTGCTAGGAGAAGCTGTTCCTTCCAGAGGGGCAGTGAAAGAGTAGAAGAACCTCCACCAGGTGGATTGACACAGTGACTGCAGCCTCAGGGGTGTCAGAGATTGTGAGGATGGCACAGGATCGGACAGGCTTCACATCTGTTGTTCATAGGGTCGCTATGAGTTGCACTTGACTTGATGGCTCCTAACAAGAACAACATCATCACACAGCTGTAAGAGAGCTCTAGTGGTTAAGGAATTGTGCTGTTACTCCAAAGTTACGTGGCCTGAATCCACTAGCTCCTCTGAGGGAGAAAGACAGTCTCCTGTGCGATTTTCAACCTGACAACAACAAGTTGTTTTTATACAGTTCCAGGAGCTCTGGTGGTGCAGTGCATTATGTGTTGTGATGCTCGCTGAAAGATCATGGTTTGAATCCACTAGCTCCAAAGGAGAAAGATGGGGAATCTCCTCCCTTAGAGATGTATAGCCTTCAGCCACCTGATGGAGGGTCACTGTGAGTGGGAATCGACTCAACAACAGTGAGATACAGCTACCATAAAATAAACAAAAGAACCCGGTACTGCTTTACGACCCTGCAGAGTTAACAGAGGGGAGAAGCAAAGGAGAGGCCAGCTGCTATATAAAAATAGACCAGTGTTTTACAGAAAAGTGAAAGATATATCCCTTATTGTGGAGTTAACCATTCATATCAGTGTTGTCCCTGCCCTTGGCACATGTGTCTTTACCCACTTATTTCCCTGCTCCACCATCCACCAGGATACCCATCCACATCTACCCCCCTCCCTTCAACAGCCATCTCCCATTGTCCCGCCCTTGATCTGATAGCTTATATCTGAAGCTTCCTTGGCTTCTGTGATTCCAAATACATCAGCTTCTGACAGTTTCTTATTCTGTGACCAGTGTCTCTTAAGTTCAGTGTCAATGCTTTCAGAGCAAAGGTGATGTGTCCTATAGAACTGGTGTGTAGATAGGTTTCCAAAAATGACTGGAACTGCCAGAAGTCCAGGCTGGGTTTAGAAGGGATCGTGGTACTAGGGATATTGTAGCTAATGTTAGATGGATCTTGGCTGAAAGCAGGGAATACCAGACGAATGTATATCTGTGTTTCATTGACAATGCAAAGGCGTTTGACTGTGTGGATCATAACAAACTGTGGCTGACTCTGAGAAGAATGGGAATACCAGAACACTTGATCGTTCTAGTACGAAACCTATACTTGAACTGAGAGGCAGTTGTCAGAACAGAGCAAGGAAACGCTGCATGGTTCAAAACTAGGAAGGGCATATGCTAGGGATGTGTCCTGTCTCCATACCTTTTCAACCTGTATGCAGAACAGATTATCTGGGAGGCTGGGCCTTATGAGGAGAAATGTGGGAAATGTGGGGTCAAGGTTGGTGGAAGATCTATAAACAATCTGCATTATGCAGATGACACAACCCTGCTTGCTGAAACTGAGGAGGACCTGAAGCACCTGCTACAGAGGGTCAAGGACTACAGCCTCCAATATGGATTGAGGCTCAATATCAAGAAGACAAAGATTCTCACCACTGGACCAATTGGCAGCATCAGGATGGAGGGTGAAGAGATTGAAGTTGTTCACAACTTTAGTTTGCTTGGCTCCACAGTCAACACTCTTGGCACCAGTAACTAGGAAATTAAAAGACGTATTTCCATGGTAAAGTCTGCTGTTGGGGACCTCTCCAAAGTACTGAAGAGCAATGGTGTCTCTCTGGAGACTAAGATGCATCTGATACAGGCCATGGTCTTTGCTATCATTTGTTATGCATCAGAGTTGGACAGTGACTAAGGAGGATAGGAGAAGAATTGATGCCTTTGAGCTGTGGTGCTGGAGAAGAGTATTGAGGGTACCACGGATTGCTAGGAAAACAAACAGATTCCTCCTCAAAAGGGTTAAACCAGGCAGCTCCTTGGAGGCAAGGATTCTGAGGCTCTGTCTAACATACTTTGGACATGTTGTAAGGAAGGACCAGTCCTTGGAGAGGGACATCATGCTTGGTAGAGTGGAGGGACAGCGCAAGAGGGGAAGGCCCTCTCTGAGGTGGATCGATTCAGTGACTGGGGTAATCAGGATGGGTTTAACAGAGATGGTGCGATTGGCACAGGACAGAGCAGAATTTAGGGCTGTTGTACATAGAGGGTCGCTATGAGTTGCAAGCGACTCGATGGCACATAACAACAACAACATATAAAAATAGACGATAGATAGATGATATATATTTAAATATAAAATATAATTTAAATATATAATATATATATATATGTATATTTTTAAAAGTACATCTCCTTAGTATGTGCATCTCTGTTGTTAAATTGTAAATTGAGGGAATGAAGAGAGGGATGAAGGGACGGGGGAGAAGGGGGCAGGAAAGAAAATCTCGGTGTCCTGAGCCTATATGAAGAGTTCCATAGGACGTCACATCCACCACGCAACTCCCAACTGAAATCCAGTGTCACAAGTGGCAGCCTTCTCAGAACCCTAAATATCAAAAGAGAAAATTCACACGGTAATGACCAGGCATGTTCAAATTATCTACTAAACTAAAAAAAACACAACAGAAAACCTGGTACTGGTACAACAATATGCACACAGACCAGTGGGATAGAATCGGGAGTCCAGAACAATACTCGCATGTCTTTGGTCAGACGGCTGGAGTCCTCAGCACTGATCACACTTCTCATCTCCTGTGTGTTCGTCCAACTATCAGAATTTCCACTGAGGGCTTACTGTGTGCCACTTTGTGTTCTGAGCACCTAGAACACAAAGAAGGAAAGTCATGAGTCCTTCTCTCCTGGAGCAAGAATAGAAACCCTGTGTAGGGGGTAGGTGTGGAAGGGAGAGAGATGAGCAAGAATTGTTGAAATGCAAGAGGAATAGTTGGCTTTTCAGAGGGACATGTGGTGTTAGGGAATGGAGGATTGTGGTGGTACGCCTTTGAGGCATGTTTGTAGGATTAAGAAATTAGAGAACAGCATGAACAAAGGCATGGTGGCATGAAAGTTGCACAGGATCCAGACACAGGATGATTTGTAAGATTATAAGAGAGATAATAGGAACAGTAGGAGAGGTTGCTGGAGGAAATGTGGGAAGGAGTTTAACCTGTTGTTATGTACCATAGAGTCAGAACTGACCCATTGCTGATCCACCAGCGGGTTTTCAGAGGCAATTAGTCGGAGAGGAGGAGATTGCCCATTCTTCTGCCATGAAGCAGCTAGCTGGTGGCACAGTTTCTTGCCACTAGGCCACTAGGCCTGTTAAAATCTCCCTGAGTTCTGATTCTAGGTGGAGGAGCTGAGATCATTTTAGTGTTTTAATGGGTGATTATTCTTTTCTTCCTTTTCCAACCTCCCTCCTCCCCCACCCCCAACTCTTCTCCATCAGGAAGGTGCAAAGACACGCTCTCCACAATCACTGGGCCGACCACGCAGAACACATATGGGCGGAACGAGGGGGCCTGGATGAAGGACCCCTTGGCCAAGGATGAGCGAATTTATGTGACGAATTATTACTATGGCAACACTCTGGTGGAGTTCCGAAACCTGGAAAACTTCAAGCAAGGTATGTACCATGCCCACCTCCAAGGCTGCTTCCCTTCACGGCTGCCCTTGGTTTTGATCATAGTCCTGTCTTTTTGGTGGTGGCAGTAGATCAGAAAGGCAAAGACCTTCTGATGGTGAAAGGACTTTCCCTGGTGGGAAAAGGCTTCCTTCAAGTCTCCCTCCCCATTCTGTTCTCTCATCTTTCAACTCCTTCCCTACTTCCAGCCCTGGGAGGCAGAAAAACCTGAAGTCCAGCCCAAAAGGCAGAAGGGTTGCACAATAGTAACAAAACATCCCTTTTTTTTTTTTTTTTTTTTTTTTCACATAGCCGGTGACCATTTGCAACCCAAGTTCCCTTTTAGTAACACATTGGTCATTAAAACAACTCAGTAAGGCCAGCAGTGATTTCTGTTTGACAGTTGAGGATGCAAACTTAGAATAGTTAAGCAATTTGCTGCACAAAACTAAAGTGGCCAAGATGCCATCCCACACATCTCCAGACTCCTAGTCGATTGCCTGTCCCACCCCACGAGGTTGCCTCTCACCTCGCTGGCAGGGCAGGCTGTCTCTGCAGCACCGCCCTGCAGCCTACCCCGCCCACCTCACACCCCACAGGTCGCTGGAGCAATTCCTACAAGCTCCCCTACAGCTGGATCGGCACAGGGCACGTGGTGTACAACAGCGCCTTCTACTACAACCGGGCCTTCACCCGCAACATCATTAAGTACGACCTGAAGCAGCGCTATGTCGCCGCCTGGGCCATGCTCCACGACGTGGCCTACGAAGAGGCCACCCCCTGGAGGTGGCAGGGCCACTCCGATGTGGACTTCGCTGTGGACGAGAACGGCCTGTGGCTCATCTACCCAGCCTTGGACGACGAGGGCTTCAGCCAGGAGGTCATTGTCCTGAGCAAGCTCAACGCCGTGGACCTGAGCATGAACAAGGAGACGACGTGGCGCACTGGGCTGCGGCGGAACTTCTACGGCAACTGCTTCGTGATCTGCGGGGTGCTGTACGCGGTGGACAGCTACAACCAGCGCAACGCCAACATCTCCTACGCCTTCGACACCCACACCAACACGCAGATTGTGCCCAGGCTGCTGTTTGAAAACGAGTATTCCTACACTACCCAGATAGACTACAACCCCAAGGACCGTCTGCTCTATGCGTGGGACAATGGCCACCAGGTCACCTACCATGTCATTTTCGCCTACTGACACGCTTGTCCTCGGCAAGCAGAAGCTGCAGAGGGACCACTAGCACCTTGTGTGTGTGTGAGTGTGTGTGCAGATGGGTATGTGGTGTTTTAAAAAAAATATATATATATATTATTTTGTATAATATACAAATGGCAAAATGAGAAGTTGGGTCTATTTTTTTTTTTTAACATGGATTGTGGATCAATCCATACACGTATGTGCTGGTCTCATCTTCCATGCTTTATATTTTGTGCAAATGAACTTCTCCTTTTGACCTTCCTTCTGACCCCTTACCCCTCCAGCTCCCAGCTCTCAGCTGTTGAAAAGGTGTCTCCATCTGGGTGTTGCAGGCAGACACCACCATACACAGGAGTTAAAGGAGGCAAGAAACAAGAACTAAGTGGTGGAATTATTTTTTTTTAATGTATTGGAGAAGTTTTTTTAAAAACACAGAAAAAAATTTTAATAAAGAAGAAACTAAAAAATTAAAAAAAAACCTTAAAAAAATGCTTTCTTGTGTATCACTGGCCATGTGTTTGATTCAGAGGGAAGACATCCTAGCACTCGGGTGTGCTTCTGTCCCCAGGCGCCCCAGGTGCCCCCTCTTCCCTCCTGATAGGAGTCTTCCCTGGGGGACTGGAATGATGGAACCGCTGTATTTGATCCTACTCACCTGGGATATGGGAAGCTGGTGTCAGGCATTGTATTCATTTCCTGTGGCTGTCCACAGATGGGATGTCTCATGTTTCTGTGGAGAGAAGTCCCAACCAGCATCACTGAGCACAAATCAATGTGTCACAGGACCACAGAAGCTCCAGGCGAAAATCTGTTCCTTACTGCATACAGCCCTGGCGCCTGCTGGCTCTCCCTAGCTTAATGCCACATCGCTCCAGGCTCTGCTTCTGTCATCACATTGCCACCTCCCCTTCACTATGTGTCTATGTCAAATATTCCTCTGCCTCTGTCTTATAAGGACATTTATAGTGACATTTAGGGCCTACCTGGATAATCTGGATTAATTGCTGTAACACAAAATCCTTAATTTAATCACATTTACAAAGACCCTTTTTTTGAAATAAGGTGACATTTGCAGATTCCAGGGATTACCCTATTGCTGCGGAGTCTATCCCAATCTATATCAATCCTACAGGACAGTAGAACTGTCCCTTAGGATTTTCAACATTGTAAATCTTTTTAGAAGCAGGCCTTCACATCTTTCTCCCAAGGAGGAGGAGCAGCAAGTGGACTTTAACCACTGACTGATCTTTCAGGTAGTGATCCATTGCTTAAACCAGTGTATCATCAGAAGTGGTTTAGGGTGTTGCATTTTGTGGAATTTTACCCCTCAAGCATTAGGGCTTGATACATTAAGGGTGACCATTCAGTCCACTTTGGAAATTGTTGTGTGTACACAGCAGACCTTCTTAAAAAAATAAAAACTCAAATGCATTGCCATGGAGTCAGAACCAACTCATAGCTGACCCTCCAGAGAGGCTCAGAGGCTGTAAATCACACTTTTCTCTCTAAGATTGCCCACTTTTCTCTAAGAAGTCACCCGTGGATTCAAAGCTCTAGAGAGGCACTGCCTTTGATTTAGCAGCAGACCACTGTAGGACTCCGCCACCAGAGTCCCCACTTCTTAAAGAAGCCCTTCCTTAATACCTTAAAAAGCATCTCAGTTACCTCACTCACTCATTGCTGTTTAGTCAGACTTGACTCTTTCCAAAGCTGTAAATCATTTGGGAAGATTTTGTTCATCTTTCTCCCAAGAAGTCACCGATGGATTCAAACTGCTGGCGAGGCTCATTTGGGTTAGCATCTAGAGTTTCTACAGTCTACGCCACCAGAACTCCCTCTTAGTTCTCCAGTGTTGTTATAACATGTTATAACAGAGACCACAAGTGGATTTCTATAGCAGACACTTGTTCTTACAGTTCAGGAGAGGGAGCTCCGGTGTGGTGGCCTAGTGCATAGGATGTTGTGTTGTCCAAAGGTGTGTGGTTTGAATCCACCAGCTGCTCCTCAGGAGAAAGACGGGCAATCTCCTCCCATGTGAAATCCACTGGAGGGTCAGCTATGAGTTGGCTCTGATCAAAGACAATGAGTTAGTTACAGTTCAGGAGACTAGAAGTCCAAATTTAAGGTGTCAGCTTTAAAGAATGGCCCTTTCCATCTGTGCCCGTTCTGCAGGAGAGTCCTTTCTTTCAGCATTGGTGGACCCACTCTTCCTTGGAGATGTCCATGTGTCCTGGCCTTCACTCGTGTCAGGAGCTGCCTAGTGCAGGGACTTGTGTCCAGAAGAACACACTGTACACCTGGTATTCTCTCTAGCGGTTCTGAGTTCCAGCCCATGCACACTCAGCTCACTTTTCTCCCCTTCGAAATCTTGAGAGGAAACTCCCCTAAATGTCAGATCAAGGCTATAGTGGGATTAAGGGGTGTTGTAGTCTACCTTTAATCCTCCCACAGCTGCTTGATTTATCAGGCCACAGGGGATTTTTACATAGCTTCCACTTTATATCTTTACATATGTGTATTGTGAGGGGTGCAGTTCAATCCATGACAAAAAGCTTGATATCTTAACCTTCTCCTTCTCTCTCTCTTTCCTTTCTCCCTCCCTCCCTCCCTCCCTTTCTCGCTCTCTAGATCTGTCTCTTACCTTGTTCAGAATAACCAGTCAGACATTGTTTCCCCAATTTCCCCTCTAGGAGCCGGCCTGATTCTGAACAAGACCTCTGAGGGAAATGTTTATGGAGCAGGGACGGGCCATGTAGTGCCTGCTTCCCACAGCATGCTTCCTCTTCCATATTAGACAACCTACTGCACAGAAGGTCTGAAAACTCCTCAGCAGGCTTCAGAGGTGGTGGGGGGAGGGCAGAAGACGTGAGTGTCAACTTGCTGACATCCGCTGCCCTCCATTCTGGGAGCATCTGTGCATCTTAGACCTCCTCTGCCCACCCCCACTCCTCGTTCAATCCTTTCACTGCTTACATCACCCCATGTGGGTGGGTGACCTCATGTCTTCAAACTTTTCTCATGGTTCAAATTGCAAGCATTTTCAAATAACAAATACTCAAATGACTTCACTTCATGTTGGGGCTGTTTAGGTCAAATTCTTTTCAACAAGTGCAAATGCCTGTTCCATCGAGTGACAATGAGGGCTAGAGGGCTAGAGATGGGGCATCCAAAGTTCAAGAAGCCTGGTGGTTGAAAGAGGTGATAGGATGGATCAGATTCCATCCTGGAAATGCACATGGTCATTATACCATGGAAATTTCCCTTGTGTAGCTCCTCTAAGCCTCCTGCAGACATCACAACCTGCCCTTCCAGCTTGGAGGCTATGCCAGGAAATGTCAACTGCTTGCGGAGCAAGAGGTGGAGGTAAGGAGCAGCCTTGAGTTGTAACTTATAAGATAAATTAATTGCCCCAGAGTCAAAGGGCTCCCTGAGGCCAGGCCAGGAACCTCCCTGCTCCCTGGAGGGGAAAATTGCAGGAAGCCATTGGAGCCCACTGAGTGATGGCAAGCCTGCAGCTGGGTGGTCGGAAGTCATTTCTCCAGGCACATCCAGACTTCTCCAAGTAGTTTTCTCATCACAAGATTAAATTTTGGAAACATCAAGACTTAGAGGATGAGTTTGTCAAGACTGAAGAGGAGGAACAATAGACAGGTTGTGTTTCACCGGAAGCCTGTGATCTCAGCCTCATTATCTCACTTGTAAAAGCGAGTGTTTGGGAGTTATTTTTTTTTTGTCCTAGATCTCATACAGTATTTACTGACTGGATCTTCTCCAGGCTGTATAATCTCTTGCCAAACACTGAGCATTTTAATTACTTGATTCTGATGGGAAATACATGTACTTAAAAAAAAATTTTAAATTAATTTCCCAACTGTGTAATTTCAAAAACAGAGAAAAAAAATGATGAACAATTCTCTTTGCAACGAATTTATATGAATGCTTATATTCACTCAGGAAATATGAGTAGAACCACTTAGGAGAATACTGAGTGAACCAGGTCCTGCCCTCAGGAAGATTGTATTCTAGTTGGGAAGAGAGAAAAGCGATCCATTGATATATATATTTATGTTGTGTGGCGGTGGCAGAGCCTGGTGCCACAGTGGTTAGCACGCAGGGAATCTAGTTTAACAAGATTTTTTATTATACTGTGTGCTAAAATTAATAGCACACTATTAATAGCACAGGTCAACATAATCGTAAATGCTCATCTAGTTATGTAAATCCATAATGCCTGATATTTACAGCTCCATCTATGGCTCAGTCCCCCAACTCCTTTATGTTCTTTTTCGGCTCAGGGAAAAGATTTGCTAGAAAATCAGAGACTCAGACCTGTCAGAGGAATGAGTCACGTGACTGCAGGTATGCAAGCCGGGTTTTTTTCCTCAGAAACTGGCAAGCAATGGACCCGGCTGGATGCTGCTGGGTGCTTGCTTACACACTGCTCTCCTGAGTTGTTTTTTCCACAAACCTCTCACTGTGAAGAGTAAATCTCTTATATTGTTCTTGCATCTGTTGCTGATTTGCCAGACCATGCATCTACAATAAAGGTAGTTGGCAACCAGAGGGGGCTAAGGTAACGGCTAAAAAAAAAAAGCCAACTCACTTTAGGCTGACACCATACAAGGTGAATTTGTTAAATTGGATTTTCAGTTTCAAATTCCAGGTGAATTTGCCTAAATAGAATTTGTAAAAAAAAAAAAAAAAAAGAGAGAAAGAGAGAGATTCTGACTGAGTACCTCTGAGGTATGGAAATATAAATTCTCAGGGATAGGTCCATAAGGCTTCTAAAAGTCTTGTTTATAGCCCACCAGCGGCTCTGCAGGAGTAAGATGTGGCAGTCCACTTCTTGTAAAGGTTCTCATTGCCCACAAGTTGGAACCAACTCATAGCTGACCCTCCACTGGGTTTCCAAAGTTGTAAAAACATACAGTAGGAAATTGTCAGTTTTTCTCCCCCAGAGCCTTGAAAATACTGTGGGCAGTTTGCTATGAGTCAGAATT